GAGTATCTGAGTCCCTGCGGAGGCTTGAGGTCCTTGAGGCGAAGGGCAGCCTCCAACATGGCCGGAAGGGTCTTGCTGAAGAAGTCCTGCTCGACCTCGACCTCCAGGAACTTCTCGACGCCAGCGAAGACGTCGGGAGGGACTGGTTCGTTGAGGTCAGGGTCGATGGCCACGCTGGAGAACAAGAACAAGAACATGAGAGGGACAAGAACATGAGAGGATTGCATATTGTTATATATATATATATAAAATAAAAAAGTTATGGAAGGGATGAAGATAAATTAAAGACATGAAAGGGACAAGAACATAAGAAGGATGTTTATTGTTATATATATAAAATAAAAAAGTTATGGAAGGGCTGAAGATAAAAGGAAAGATTAAATAAATAGGTAAAAGTTATGGGATGCTTATTGTTATATATATGAAATAAAAAAAAGTGATGGAGATAAATGAAAGATTAAATAAATAGGTAAAAGTTGAAAATAAATGTAGGATGAAATAAATAAAAGTTATAAATAAATGTAAGTAAAAGTTAAAGATAAATGAGATGAAATTATTTAATAAAAGTTAATAATTAATAATAGATAAAAGAATTCAATAAAAGTTAAAGATTAATGAAAGATCCAATAAATAAATAAAAGCTAAAAATGAATGAAAGATAAAATAAATAAATAATAAAAATAACGAAACATGACACAAATAAACTAACGAATAAAAATAACGAAATAACGAAAGTTGACATAAACAAAAAAGCAAAAATAAATGAAATCAATACATCCGAGTCAATGATAAAACTGAAGAACAAAAACATAATCTATATACCGTTCTTATAAATAAATAAATCAATAAACAAAAGCTAAAAACGAATAAATGCATAGATAAAAAAAATAACAAACTCGTAAACATTCCTTCTCTCTCTAACAGTGACTAAGTCTAAAATTCCCCAGAAAATCACACGAATAACACCCAACGCAACAGGAGCGGGCACACGAACGCTTTTTTCAACAACCAGTTTTTAGGTACGTAGTTGAGTTTTTTTTTTTTTTTTTTTTTTTTCCTTAGCAGACTATAGACTCTTTCTTGACAACCCACTTCCTCGATATGTGAACGATGCATATAGTTCGCTTCTACATCAGAGGTATTGTCGACTCGGAAGCAACGGGTAGTGGAAAAGTTCAAGTTTCCGTTGATTTATCGGTGTAAAAACGCTCGTGTGACCGACCCTTCATCAACGGACGCGGGAAAACGTGTCTAGTTATACATTACGTAGATGAGTGTCCCAAGACCGGATCGCAAAACCTAACCTAACCTAACCTAGCCCAGTCGAAGCTTCTCGAATTCCTTTCTATAAAGGAATTCTCAATTCATTGGCTCTTTTCTTCCTGTTTCTTAATTATGAGTAATAAATAGATTAATTGTCTTCAAGATGGACACTTCTCGCTTCTTCCTGTTTCTTAATTATGAGTAATAGATTAATTACTTGTCTTCAAGATGGATACTTCTCGCACCCTTTACAATGCTATCTCACACTCCCAGGCGGTGCGACCACGCCTGGTTGAGATAATATCCCCCACCATTTCTTCCCCAGCTCCGTTTCCTCCTTTGTCTAATCCCCATGTCTCCCCCATCACTATAATCCCTTTTTGATAAGTTTCGCCCCCAACTCTCGCTAACGCCCTCTCCGATCTTTGCTGTGTATGCGTTCGTGTTATATTGTAATACTGTCTTCTTTAGCTCTCTCTCTCTCTCTCTCTCTCTCTCTCTCTCTCTCTCTCTCTCTCTCTCTCTCTCTCTCTCTCTCTCTCTCTCTCTCTCTCTCTCTCATTTAATTACATTTTCTTATCTTTCTATTTCCTTCCGAGTGTTATTTTCTGTGTAATCTCTCAGTCAATTACATTTTTTCATCTTTCAGGTTCATTCCGAATATTATTTTCTGCGTTATACTATCTCCCTCTCTTCCCCCACACTCTCTCCTTTATCTTATCCTTCCCCCATTCCCTCCCCCACCACTTCCAACCCCCCACTACCCCCACCCTCCCCCTCACCCTCACTTGGCACGGGGGTATCTGTAGTGAAAACGGGGGGGGGGGGGGAGGCAGGGGGAGAAGGCACTCCATTCATTATTTTTGGAAACCGTTATTCACGCTGTTGTGGAAGGCAGGTTTTGGTCTCCTTTTTTCTTCTCTCTCTCTCTTTGTGTGTCTTTTTTTTAGTTTGTTTTATACTTTTTATAATGTCTTCTAAAGCTCTGTTTCTCATCTTATTACATTTTTGCCTTTCAGTTTCCTATAGAATGCTATTTTCTGCGTAAGAAAACTACATTAACCACAAATATATTGAATAATAACACAGTCGCTTATAGAACAAAAACAAATAAAAATAATAATAACAATAATAATAATAATAATAAATAATATAATAATATAATAATAATAATAATAATAATAATAATAATAAATAATAATAATAATAATAATATAAATAATAAATAACATTACCA